CCCCTCCCCTCCACTTGGGCACACACACCCTCTCTCTCTAAAAAACAAAAAATGAAAGACCTTCCCTACAAAGAAATTACAGGTCCACATGTTTTCACTGTAAATTCTATTAAGCATTTAAGGAAAATGTTTAATGCCAACTTTACCAAAAAACACTTTTAGAAAATAGAGGAGGAGGGAAATTTTCCTATTTCTTTTTATGAGAACAGCATAACCCTCACCACCAAAAACTGGCAGACATTACAAGGAGAGAAAATTACAGATAAATATCAAATACAGAAATAGAAAAATGAATAATACATCCAAATGCGGTTGATCCCAGTAACAATAACGTTATTCCCAAGAACAAAGGATTGGTTTAGTATTCCCAATCAATGTAATTTGTCATATTAACAAAATAAAGGATTAAAAAAATGATCACCTCAGTATAGAAGCAGAAAAAACATTTGACAAGATTTGGCATCATTCCTAACAAGTAATCTCAACAAACTCAGACTAAAAATGTGACTATCCTCATCTGATACATGGCATATATGAAAAAATCCAGTACTAACCACATACTTCAGAGTGAAATGGAGAAATTCCCTCCCACCAACCTTCCATGATAAGAAAGAAGGCAACTATATCTGTTCTCACCACTTCTGTTAAACATCTTACCAGAACTTCTAGCCAGTCCAATAGAGCAAGAAAAATAAAATAAAATGCCTTAATAGTTGAAAGGAAGAAGCAAACATGTCTTTATTCACAGAGGACATAACAGCTTATACGGAAAATCCAAAGAAATCAATAAATAAGCTACTAGAACTAATAAATGAATTTAGCACAGTTTTTACATACAAAGTCAATATTAAAATCAAATATATTTCTATATGCTAGCAGAAAAATAATTATGAAATGAAAAAATTTTTTTTATTTTTTTAAAATATTTTATTTATTTATTTGAGAGAGAGGCAGTGAGAGAGAGCATGAGCAAGGAGAAGGTCAGAGGGAGAAGCAGACTCCCCGTGGAGCTGGGAGCCCGATGCGGGACTTGATCCCGGGACTCCGGGATCATGACCTGAGCCGAAAGCAGTCGTCCAACCAACTGAGCCACCCAGGCGTCCCAGGAAATGAAAATTTAAAAGGCAATATCATTTTTTATTTTTTTAAAAGATTTTATTTATGTATTTGACAGACAGAGATCACAAGTAGGCAGAGAGGTAGGCAGAGAGAGAGGAGGAAGCAGGCTCCCTGCTGAGCAGATAGCTCCATGTGGATCTCGATCCCAGAACCCTGGGATCATGACCTGAGCTGAAGGCAGAGGCTTTAACCCACTGAGCCACCCAGGCACCCAAGCAATTCCATTTTTAAAAAAGCACCAAAACCACAAAATATTTAGAAATAAATTTAATAAGAGAAGCAATACCTCTACTCTGTAAGGAGAAAATTAAATACCTAAATACATAGTTATACCATGTTCATGAATCAGAAGGCTCATTATTAGGATAATGAGTCTGTAAATTATTATTAAGATAATTTATCTACAATTTTTTTCTCCTTTCTAGACCAAATTGGTCTATAAATTCATCACAATCCTATTCCCCATCACAATAAACTTTTTTTTTTTTTGCAGACATTGTTAAGTTGTGCCAAGTTTTTATGGAGATGCAAAGGAACTAGAGTGGTCAAAGCAGTCTTAAAAAAGAACAAGTTGCATTTCATTTCATTCCCAGTAGCACAGCTAAAATTGAAAAGACTAACACACCAAATATTGGCAAGAATGTGGAAAAACTGGATCAGACTTTGCTTGTGGGACTGCAAAAACGTTAAAGCCTCTTTGGAAAACAACTTGGCTATTTCTTATCAAGTTAAACAACCCAATTAAAAATGAGCAAAAGTCTCGAATAGACACTTTATGAAACAAGATATAAGAATAACAGGTAAGTATGTCAGATAGACATACAAAAAGATGCTCCTTAGTCAACGGAGAAGCACACACTAAACTCACAATAAGAGAGTATTTCACACCCACTCACCTGGCTGAAATGAAAAAGACTTAACAACACCAAATGCTGGTAAAGCCATTTTTGGAAACAGTTTGGCTCTTTCCTATAAAGCTAAACACACATGGGGCGCCTGCGTGGCTCCCTGGGTTAAGCCTCTCCTTCAGCTCAGGTCATGATCTCAGGGTCCTGGGATCGAGCCCTGCATCAGGCTCTCTGCTCGGTGGGGAGCCTGCTTCCCCCTCTCTCTCTCTGCCTGCCTCTCTGCCTACCTGTGATCTCTCTCTCTATATCCAATAAATAAACAAAATCTTTTAAAAAGATAATAAAAATAAAAATAAAGCTAAACACACAGCCTGACCTAGCAATTCAACCTGTGGATTAACCCAACGGAAATAAAAACTTATGTCCGCAGAAAGACATTTTAAGAATGTTCATGGAAGTTTTATTCTTAAAGCCAAAAACTAGAAACGGACCAAAGATCTAGCCACAGGACAACCCATAAATAAAATTGTGGCTACTTATATAATGAAATGACACCCAGTAATAAAAATGAATACATTATCGATACATATAACAATATGAATAGGTCTCAAAAACATTTTATTAATTGCAACAAGCCACGCGCAAGAGTAAATATTATGTGGTTCCATTTATATGAAGTTCAAGAATAGATAAAACTGATCTATGATGATAGAAATCAGGACAGTGACGACCAAGGGGTGAGAATATTCCAGAAGGTGATAGAAATGCATACATGTATCAAAACTCATCAAAGTGTACACTTGAGATAGGAGCATTTCAGAGTATGTAAATTTTATGTCAAAGGAAAAAGAAGGATGTCTGGAGTCATGTCACCAATAATTTAAAACCTGGGAGCGACTTAGATATCTTCCAGTAGGGGGTTTCATTAATAAAGTGTATACCCAAATTTTGCAGGCACTAAAAATAATGCTACAGAAAGCTATCTATTGACATGGAGAAATATGCATGGTAACTTATATGAATAAGAAAGTTATCAGAATAGTATAACCGGGGGCACCTGGGTGGCTCAGTGGGTTAAAGCCTCTGCCTTCAGCTCAGGTCATGATCCCAGAGTCCTGGGATCGAGCCCCACATCGAGCTCTCTGTTCAGCGGAGAGCCTGTTTCCCTTCCTCTCCCTCTGCCTGTTTCTCTGCCTACTTGTGATCTCTGTCTGTCAAATAAATAAATAAAATCTTAAAAAAAAAAAAAAAAAGAATAGTATAACCAATATGAGAGCACAGAATAGAAAGGTCTGGAAGCTTTTTACCAAAGCGAGGCTCAGGGTTACCTTGAGAGACATGATTCTGGGTGTGGTCACCTTTTCTACACTGAACGCGGACTTAACTTTTGCAATAAGAGGAAAACATTTCTAAATAGATCCCTATTGTTCTAGACACTTAGACAGGATTCCTTCCCTTATTCATGGTAACTGTGATCTATAAAGTCACAGGGTCCTGAATTAGCAAATAGTGAACCATGTTCCTAGGGAAGATACACGGTGAGGCTCCTGCCAGCTTCTGGTCACAACATTTTTGTCAATTTGTTTTACATGTGAGGGGAGGAGTTCATCACTACCCACGCCTCCACCGGGAGGGGACAACCGGCAGCTCTGTGTGTGGGGACGGGGTCGGGGTCGGGGGGATCCTCCTGGACTCTGTCCCACAGGCTTCTTCCCTTGGAGGATCTGAATCCGCACCTTTCGTCATAACAAACCATGAGCGTGAGCTCAATAGCTTTTTGGCTCTGTGAGTTTTTCCAGCGAAATATCAGAACTAAGGGCGGTCCTGGGCTCTCCAGTCAGCCCATCAAGACATCACTGTCTTGAATCCCCCTTTTTGAATCACTCGTTCAGTGAATTCCATCAAACACGTGCCCTTTACCTATTTGCGTGAGGTTTACGACTCAGACATCTGAGACTTACACTCCGTTTACTGGGTTGTTCCTTCAATAACGAGAACATGAAGAGAGATGAAAAACCATCCGTACTTCAGCACTCAGTGGTTTCCAGGGGAGGGAGGAAAGAGGCCCTATTCGGGCCGGGCTCAGTTACCCTCAGAAGAAACAGTCTGCAGGGCAGCGAGTGGCAGTTTGCAGGGGTAGGGGTGGGCAGACATGAAAACACAAGGTTATCAACAGCTGAGGCAAGGATGGGGTCGGCGGGGGCGGGGGTACCCGGAGGCTCTGGGAGCTGAGAGAAGGGCCCCGAAGCCTTCCCAGTGCTGAGCAAAGGCCTCCCAGGACCAGGCGCCTTCTACATCAGGAAAGATGGCACCGCTGGACCCGTTTGCTTTCCAGATCCTTCCTTCAGCTCCACTCTGGGCCACAGACCCACGGAAGCATCCTCATTACTAGCACTGTTCTGTAATTATCCTGTTATTTGTAACCCAAAGAATCTCAGGCAGCTTTCAATCAAAGCGTATACCTAACATTACAACTTATTATCTGGGAGCGAGATGGGCTGTGAATCTGTTGGTGGGGCAGGACCTGCTTCCCCGCGCCGAGGGCACAGCCGGGATTTGCTGCGAGCCCGCCCTGGCCTCCTCGGGCTCCAGAGGAAGGTTGGGGGCTCAGAAGGAAGACCCCAGCTCTAAGCCGTGTCCTCCCATCCTTGCCCTGGGCTCCAGCCAGGCAGAGGGCAGGACAATCAGTCGGCTGCCCGCCAGATTCGTGTGCCTCGTTCCACGGCAGACGCGGCTCCCAGACTGGTGAAGAGAGACCCAGGAGCCCGCTCTGCCTGCCCCCATTCCCAGGTGAGAGCAGAAGAAAGAGGCTGTAAACTCTTTGTAAACTCAATCCCCTCCCCAAGGCCAGGATTCACGATTCTCCTCCACCCGATCAGTGCACCTAGGGTCCCCAGCTTGACGCCCATGGCAAGGTGGCAGCAACACACACAGAGACTCTGCAGCCCAGCCCAGCCGGTGCTCCGCCCCCTGCACCTTGAGCCCCTGCCCTTGACCCCGGATGCCCGGCCGCCCACACCCGGGCAGACTCACCCTCCTCACAGTTGCTCCCGGTGAAGCCAGGACAGCATCTCCACTCCAGCGCCGTCACCGTGCGGTAGGACACTCTGTATGTGGGTCTGATCAGAGTCCTGTAACTAACACAAGGGCAGCATCAGGAGAGTGTGAGCACCCAACCACCTGCCTCCCCGATCCCACTTCTGCAGAGAGCACCCAGCCCAGGGCTCTGGGAGCTGCCTGGGTAGTGGAGCCTGTCATCCTGTCTCTGTGCCCACTACTATGTAGCCCTGGGCAAGTGATCCCTCTTCTGTGTCTCCAAGTCTCCAAGCATGGCCACCAAAGGTGGCAGGCGGGAGGCGGGGGGAGAATGTCTGTCATGGACTGAGTTGTGTCCCCAGAATCCACAGGGTGAAGCCCTGCCCCCACCCCCACCATGTGACTGTATTTGCATATAGGGTCTTTAGGAGGTAATTATGGTTTAACGAGGTCATAACAGTGGGGCCCCAACCCATCAGAGCCAGTGGCCTTGTAAGGCGAGGAGGACACAGAAAGAGATCCCTTGAGTTCATGCACACACAGAGGAGAACCCAGAGAGAAGGTGGCCGTCTGAGAAAACACGTTTCTGTTGTTGAAACCCCCAGTCTGTGATATTTCGCTACAGCAGCCTGAGCAAAGACATTGACCAAGACCATGAAGAAGGAAAACAAAACTATCGTTAGGACGTATGGAACTTCCAACCACCCAAAAGTTCCTGAACTCCAACACTTTGTCCCAATCACTTTCTTTGGCTGATTCATCCAGTGAACACTGATTGAGCACCAGCTACATGCAATACTATAGTCACAGATGGAGAGAACCGAGTCCCATCCTGGAGAAAATCACAGCATCGTGGATGAGAGAGACACACACCAATGAAAAACTTTCAGCCCCGTCGGGGGAATCTTTTCCCCTGAAAACTGCAGCGGATTCCAGGGCCAAATTTCACACTCCTGCAGTTTTGACATTTTTCTTGCCAAAAAGCTTAATACTATTTTATGAAACTCTGAGACATAAGATATGTGACCACACCACCATGAGCTATCACCTCACACCTGCCAGAATGGCAATGTGGCCATCAACAACACAAGAAACAACAGGTGTGGGTGGCGATGCAGACAAAGGGGAACCCTCACGCAGCACTGGTGGGGCTGCCAACCGGTGCAGCTGCTGCGGGGAAATGGTACTACGATTCCTAAAAAAATTTTAAAAAGAACTCCCATTTGATCCAGCAACTCCGCTTCCGGGGATGGACCCAAGAAAAACAAAAACACTAATTCGAAAAGAGATCTGCACCCCCATGGTCATCATAGCCCTATTTACAAGAGCCAACCCATGGAAACAACCTCAGTGTCAGTCGACAGAGGAACGGATAAGAAAACGTGATGTAGATACACACGGCGGAATATTACAGAGCTATGCAAAAGGAGGACATCTTGCCATTTGCGACAGCAACGGCTGAACCATGAGGGCATTACGCTAAGTGAAATAAGTCAGAGAAAGATAAATACTGGATAATCTCACTTATACATGGCATCTAAAGGAAAAACAACCCAGGTCATAGATACAGACAGACTGATGGTTGCCAGAGTTTGGGGGGTAGGGGTGGAAGAAATGGGTGAGGGGGGGGATCAAAAGGCAGAAACTTCCAGATACAAAATAAAATGTAAAGCTCCTGGGATGTAATGTGCAACCTGGTGACTATAGTTAAGACCGAGTAGAATAGGGTGCCTGGGTGGCTCAGTGGGTTAAGCCTCTGCCTTCAGCTCAGGTCATGATCTCAGGGTCCTGGGATTGAGCCCTGCATCAGGCTCTCTGCTCAGCAGGGAAGCCTGCAGGCTCCCCCCACCCCCCGCCCTGCCTGCCTCTCTGCCTACTTGTGATCTCTCTCTTTCAAATAAATAAATAAAAGTGGCATATATGAAAATGGCTAAGAGAGTAGAACTTCCAGGGCTTGTCCCAGGAAGAACAATTTTTATAACTGTGTGTGATGACAGATGTTAACTATACGTATTGTGGTTCGTTTTGCAATACATACAAATATCAAATCAAATACTGTACACCTGAAACTAACAGAATGTGGAATGCCACACACACACACCTATGACCCAACCTCACACGGGGGACACACTTGGCTTTATTATTCGATTTGCATGTATCATCATAACTTTGCTGCTCGATCACGTTTGCACGGCTTCCTCCTCCGAGCAAAGCTACACGACTTCACAGAATCCAAGTCCGCTGACACTAAGCAACTTAATCGGTGAATGGGAAAATCATGAATTAATTGGTGCAGCAGGTGTGACATTTCAAGATGCCCCGTTGACAGGAAAACACACGAGTTGCGTCTTGAATTTCAGAAATAGTACAGTCCATCTGAACAATCCTGTTCCACTAATTTCTCTTAAAAGGAAAAAAAAAAAGTCCTCTCGTTCATGTTTCATGAACGTTCTGGCAAACCAGCTTTCCTCCTGGAGATCTAAGGGGGTTGGGGGACGGTGGTGAGGTTGTGTGCAACCAGGGGCAGGAAACTTCAGGTGAGAAGCCAGGAGTCTGCATGGAGAGACGTCCATGGTGGGACCAGGATGGCACATCCAGATCTTAACACTCTGGCTGCCCCCCGGAAGCTCTGTGCAGGCCAGAGGGCCAGGGTTGGCTGTGTCATCTTCACCACTCCTCACTGGCAAGTGGCCTGGTGGGCCATTGTGGGCTGATGAGCCTGGGTCCCGGGAGCACAACTAGATAAGAAACAGGTGATAATAACCACACACGCCCGCCGTCACATACACATACCCTCCCACATGCACACACGGGCTCCCACGCTTTCGTGCTCACACATGCACACACACTCACGTGCTTGCACACACTCAACGCTCGGGCACTCATTCACACCCTCACACCCTCATACCACCTTCCTGCAGCAGATCTCCCAGCTAGGAGAGGAAGGAGCTTTAATTTAGAGAAAAGATCCCAGTTTTCTCATTGATTCCTGGACTAAGATATTGCTCCGGCTTAGAGGGAGCAGAAAAGCTATGGCGGCCCCACCCAGGGCAGACGTGCAGGGCAGGAAAGGGGTCAAGTTACTTGCCGTTCACATCCTGCCCAGTGCAGCCGACGACGCCACCAACAGGTGCCTCCTGTGGATGGGCCCCTGGACTGTGGGGTTCGGGCTCTGCCCCTAACTCACGATATGGACTTGCACCATTACTTATGAGGACACCGCAGAGACCAGGATGCAGGGCGTGAGTCTCACTGGGAGGATGCGTGTGCAAGGCGTGCACAGCAGGAAGCATGTGCAGATGGTGGGTTTGCAAAATGCAGATTGGACCTCATTCCTCCCTGCCCATGTCCTTCCACCGACCCTGCCCCCAGCCGCAGGCGGCTCCTCCCCCTCCAGCCAGGCAAATGCACCAGGAGTCCCTCTGTGCACAGCCTGAATGATGATGATGATGGAAATAAAAATAGATATCCTAAGAGCTTTGAGTAGTCACCATGCACCAGGCACTCACTGTTCTGAGCGTTGGCCATGTGCTGACTCACAACAATCCTAACAGGAGGATATTAATACTGATCCTAATTTACAGATGAGAAAACCGAGGCACAGAGAAGTTAATTTAAGCAACTTTCTCAAGGTCACACTGCCAGAAGGTCATGGGACTAGGATCCAAACGCCGGCAGAACTGGCAGAAACTACCAACACTCATTCGTTTGTTCAGCACAATGGAATAGTTTCCCTCCCTACATCTGCACAAGATCGTGAACTCAGGCTCTGAAACAGAGAGAAAGCTCATCCCCCAGAGAAGGTCCCTTTCTGCCCCTCATTCTGAAAGTTCCATGGGTTGACCTGCCCCACTCTGGGACCAGAGGAACCCCATGACCTGTGATGTCCAGGACCAGGGTCCACCAGTAGATGGCGCTCCTTCACCAGCCCTGAGGGCCAGGGCTCAGCCTGGCAAACCCCTCAGATCTCTCCTGAGTGCCCTGGGCAGTAGGCAGTGTGAAACCTGGCCCAGGCCGGGCATCCCCCTTCTACATTTCATAAAGAACTCCCAGCCCATCCACTGGGGTCCAGTCTACAAACCCAGTGATCTTTCTAAAATGCAGATCCAATTTTGTGACTGCCCTTTCTCAAAACCTCCCATGGCTCCCATAGACTAAGGATTAAACTCTTTAAGTCAGTAAAGAAGGCCCTGCCTACCTTTCTATATTCCCTTCCTTCTGCCACTCCCAGCCAAGGTTCCTACCACCACAGCTGAGCCTGCTCTTCCTGCCACTGGGCCTTTGCACATGCAGGTTCCTCTGCCTACCTGACCTTCCTCCTTGACTCTGCCTAAGAAAAATTCCCAAAAGCTTTCAGGGTGTGGCTCACCTGTCCCGTTCTCCTCGGTGAAGCACTCCCACTCCTGGCCAGCATCACTGGCTCCCTCCTGAGTCCTCCCGCAGCACCTTGGACAGAGCTTGGTTTGAACCCATCACTGATCCGTGCCCTCAGCCATATGTACTGAGATCCTGCTGAGTCCCAGACAATGGGAACGCAAGCATGAAGAAGGTGGGCACAGCTCTGCTCTGCCACAGAACCACACACGTGAACAGATGACCACAGGCCACAGTTAAGTGCTACGAAGGGAAGCACGGAATTCACGCCTCACATTAAAATAGCATTTTTTTTCTTTTTTACTAAAATATAATTTACATGTTTAGCTTAACGAAATTTACCTATGTGTCCACCAACATTCCCAGCTTGAAAGTCCCCCGTGCCCCCTCCAAAATGACTACCCCACCCCCTGGTGTATCCATCCTGATTTTTCTCCCCTGGAGATCAGTTTTGCTTGTTCTAGAATCTCATACACACGGGACCTCGCAGCATGAGCTGGCTTGTGCCCGCCTTCTTTTACTCAGCCTTAGCCCCTGGGGTTCATCTGTGTTAAGGGCATAAATAATATTCCAATATAGAAAGGGGCCACAATGGGTCCGTTCTCTTGTTGATGAACATTTGAGTGGCTTCTAGTCTCGAACTAGGATGGAGAAAGATGTGATGGGCTTTCCCGTACAAGTCTTTGTGAACATGTTCTCACTGCTCTGGAGTATGTTCCCAGGAGCA